CCCCGCCTTGTTCGCCGTCTTGCAGAAATCGTGGACGGGAACTCCAAGATGACCCTGGGAATGATCTGGACCATCATCCTGCGGTTCGCCATCCAGGACATCTCCGTGGAAGGTGAGCGGGCCGGGGAGCGCTCTTGTCCAGCGGAGCGTCCCGGGGCGAAGGCTTTGGTCTGATTCCCTCTCTCCTCTCGCAGAGAGTTCGGCCAAGGAGGGGCTGCTGCTGTGGTGCCAGCGCAAGACGGCCCCCTACAAGAACGTCAACGTGCAGAACTTCCACATCAGGTGAGGCCGGCGGGGGCCCGGGGCCTGTGGGATACGAGCGCGCCTCTCTTCCAGCCCCGATCGCTCGACCCGTGGATCTGTCTCGCACACTGAGCGCCCAGCTGGTTGGGTAATGAGATAGACCCAGCCACGGGGCGCTAAAATACTTTCAGAAGAACAAACAGTTGGGGAAAAAAACTCTCCTCCTCTTCTTTCTCTAATTGAAGCGGTTCGGCTCGTTATTGAAAACCGTGATTAACTCCACTGTGGCTTGATTCTGCACAGCCAGAAACGGGGAGAGAGAGAGAAAGCACTGCGCGTTCTCCCCTCTGGCCAGAATTCGGAGAGAAAATGTGGAACAGTCTTTTCACACGCAGACGTATTCCTCCCCCTCCCCGTCTCCCTCTGCTCCCGCAGCTGGAAGGACGGACTGGCCTTCAACGCCCTCATCCACAGACACCGGCCCGAGCTCATCGACTACGACAAGCTGAGGAAGGTAACGTCAGCCCTCCCCGTCGCCCGAAACCGTGTCCCCTGAGACTGCGCCCGTGGGGCAGCTGGTGTTCTGGCTCTGGTCCGGCCGGGTCCGCTTGGCAGCGGGGCTGGGCGCCCCTCGAGCCGCGCGCTTTGGGTTTTTCCGTAGAGACCCGTAGAGACGTGAGGCTTGGGAGCAGCTGTAGGGAAGGTTTGATGAAGTGGTTGAGATCGCAGTGGGACTCCCACGCCTTTGCCGAGCTGGTGGGTGTGTGTTAGATGGTTCTGGTGGAGTGAACGGGGGTGTGTCCAGTCTGGGAGCAGGGGGAGCAGTCCTGGCGGGGGCGATCAACGCTGTCTGGCGTGGAGAAGGACTTTGCTTGTTCTAGACTGTGGCTGGACACTAGCTGACCGCCCACTGTGTTTCCTCCTGTCCTGTGGGCAGCCCTGTCACCTGTATTGCACCCTGTGGGGCTGTGAGGGCCTGTAGGTCAGTGAGTGGAGCTCTGGTTGGCCTGTGATGGACTGCAGCGCCCCCTACAGGGAGGAGATGTTGGGAGCTTTGTGCTACAGACAGCTGGAGCCAATTCTGACTTCTCCCTTTGCCCCCAGGACGACCCGGTGACCAACCTGAACAACGCCTTCGAGGTGGCGGAGAAATACCTGGACATCCCGAAGATGCTGGACGCAGAAGGTCAGGGGAACCCCTGTCTGTGCCTGTGTGT